CGGAGGGGAGGGGGCCCGGCCGCGCCGCCCTCGGCACGGGCGGGTGCTTTGTTCCGGGGCGGGAGGTGTGGCCGCCCCCGGGCCGGGCCGCGCTTTCCCGGCGTGGGGCGCGTTCTGGACTGGCGGTGAGTGGCCTTTTTGCTCCACCGTTACTCCCGCGTAACGGTGTGCGATCGAGAAATCGGCCACGATTGAGACCCCGCTGGGGAGGGCCTGCCCACCGCCCAGAGAGCCCCTTTCATGGTAACCGCCCTTGGGTTCCATGTCTGCCCTGGCGAGAACCCGCGGGGAGGTGGGCGGCAGGACCGGGGGTGTGGGTGGGGGCTCTTTCTCCGCTTTTAAAATGGCGTTAACGAGGGCAGGGATCCGCCGGGGGAGTTGTCAGATTCATCGGAATAATGAAAAGCAGTCTGTTTCATAAACAACCCTTCACTGCGCCCGGGGCTTGGGGCTCTGGTCACAACGAGGGCCCGGCTCATTCATTGACCAGACCTGGCTGGGGCGCCCACCGTGTGTGGGGCACAGTGCCAGTTCCTGCTCTGCGGGGACGGTAGGGGCGCGAACTGAGTGACAGCCCAGCGTAGTTGGTACCGGGATCAGGGAAGCGTAGGGGCTGTGGGAGCAGACAGTGTGGAAGGTCAGGGAAGGCCTCCTGGAGGAGGTGATGCCTGGGCACTGGACACCCAGTTAGACTCTGTGGCTGGAACTGAGATCTGTGCTGACCAGGGACAAAGCCGAGTCTGGAGAGGTGGACAAGGGTCAGTTCATCGGGGCCCTGATCACAGAGCTCTGGAACTGCCCCTCCTCCCTCCATGGGCTCTCAGTGCTACCAAACCTCAACCTCCTTGGGCTAGAATGGTTCTTCCCCCTCCAGGACTCACACTCTGTCCTGGACCTGACCAGCGAGGGTGACTGACAAGGCTCGGAATTGTGGCCTCCAAGGAATGACCTCCCTGGCAGCAGGACTAATAAAGAGATCTGACTTAAAAGCTCCCTGTAATCACAGCAGCCAGCAGGGCTTACACAGACCAGGCACTGCCGTGGATATGCTGGCTCATCATTTGACAAGACTCCTCCAGAAAGGTTTTATTATTATCCCCGTATGCCAATGGGGAACTAGATGGCGGCTAGAAAGAGTCAATAACTTGCCCAAGATGGTTTCTAGAATCCATGCTCTAGACCATGCGGCTGTCCTGGCTCCTCTTGAGAGGGTCTGGCTGGCCTGGGTATGGAGGCTCCCGGTGCAGCCTGTGTTAAGCTTCTGCTCCATGGACATTCGCCGGTCGGTGGAAGTGTGGAGTGGTGAGCTGTTGGTATTAATAACTGACACGTGTCAGGGGCTTTGCAGTGAACAAAGCACGTTCACGGAGACAGTTCTTAGAGTTGCTCCTGCTTCTCTTCCCAGGGCAGAAACTTGAGCTGGCTAACATTTTGTAAATCTCCTAATTTCCTGTAAATCGCCTGTCCCTGCTGACTGGGGCTGAAAATGTTTCGGGCCCTGGTTTTCACCCCCCGGTCTGTTCTCAGCAGCCAGTTCGCGTCTCTGTCTGTGGTTTATGGTGTAGTTTGCCCTTTCTCGGCCACGTCAGGAGGCATGGAGCTTTGAGGCTCTGAGGTTTTCGAGGCTGCAGAGTCTGCCAGCCTCTTTTCGGGGAGGGGGGTTGAGTAAGATAAGTACTCTGGTAGAAACCGCCTACCCGCCTCCATGGCCTCAACGTTTCCTTATGGAGAGGGGGTCAGGGCCCTCTGCTGAACCCTGGGGAGGCAAGCGACAGTCTTCCAGGGTTGCCAGCTCTGCTCCTGCGTATGGCAGTTTGTGTTTTCCACTATTCATGTTTTCACCTATGTAGGATGTTTTTGTGACAGGTATAACTTTTATTTTATTATTAGCTCTAACCACAGGTATTTCACAGTTTCAGTTGGTCTGAGCTGCTTATAAAGTGACAGGTCCCTTATCCCAGGGGTTGGTTCCTAAGCTTGAGTGATCACCTGGACCCAGGGGGACTGCTAGGCTCTGATGAACTGAACTAGCTCCTGGGGTGACTGGTCCTAACGTCAGTCAGTATCGCATGTTGATCACCTGCTGAATCGAGTGAGTTCTTGGGGAAATGTGACCTCCATTTGATATTTCACATCTGGTGCAATCATTGTTCTACCAATGAAATGCTCCCTAACAGAGTGTACCTCCTTGCCAGCGATTGAAAACATACCTGCTCATGAGCATTGTGTAGTTCATACAAACCATACTCATGTGAACTAAATGGAAACACGTTCTTGTGCAAAGCTGGAATGTTCTCACGGTGTCCAGAGAGTGTGTTGAATTCCAGAGGCTCTGTAACTGCCAGGCCCAGGGCAGGCATCCAGCCGGCTATAAGGTATAGTTACCTTTGTCTGGGGATGGGAAAAAGGAAGGATCTGGGTGAGCTCCCTGTGCCCTGGGGCATCTGGCAGGTATCCATTGTCTAGAGGCTGAGCAGAGAACTCAAGCTTTGAGAGGAATTTCGTTGGTGGACTCTGAGGCCTTGCCAACCCTCATGGTCTTCGGTGATGCCACTGGGCCCTGTGGTATTGGATCCATGGGGATGCTTTGGCTATAAATAACAAAACCCAAGTACTAGTGGATTAAGCAGAACTTAGATCTCCCAAAGATGCTCTCAGCTCTTTTGAGGTCTCTGTACACAGAGATGGGATATTAGTGCCACTTCCAGTAAGTTCTTGCAAGGGATGGGCAGCCAAGAAGGCTGAGGGTCTGGTGTCCAGAGCAATGGTTCTTACCTTCTTGGGTCACAGCCTCTTTAATATGCCAGTAAGAAGCCCGGAGGGAAGTTGCTTGGATGTACGGAAGTTGGGCATACACTTCCGGGGGTTCATGATCTCTGAAGACGAGCCCTGGATCCCAGGTTAGATCCCCTGGTCTGAGCCACGTTGCTTCACTGCTGTTTACAAGGACCTACTTTGTGGCGCTGCCCTCCCACCAGGCCAGCATGCCATCATGGTAGAGATGAGCGTCAAGGGTGAGAATAGAGGGGGACTGTTGTCAGTTCTCAGCCTGTGAGTTGAAGTCTGTGCAGTCAGCCAGCAGGTCTGTCTTGTGGAACTCTGACCCAGAGGGTGGTGCCACCGCCACCTTGTGCTTCAGCGGGCAGACCCGCGGCGTTGAGGCCGAGGTGACAGCCACGTTGCATTCCTTGGTGCCCACCATGCCTTCCGTGGTGCCCATCTCCTGTCTTCTAAGTAGTGTTCCTGTTGTGTATGATGGGGTTGGTCCTACCTATTCCCAGAGACTCCGCTCCCTGGCCCTCCTCCACCTGGCCGCCGCCACTGAGCCCCTAGGCCCTTTTAGCCGGTTGGCATGATCCAAGGCAGCTTTCTGCAGCCATCCATCTTGTAGAGGTCATGACGTAGCAATGTGTATTTAGCTTTTTAATATCCCTATCATTGCCCTTTAGTATTCTTGGTAGCTTTACTAAGTGGGGCCTGCTGAGGGCCAGATGGCCAAATGACAATGTGGGTCATCACTGGTTGCTGAGGTGACGTTCTGAGTCTCAGAAGGGCATCTTCTCATCTAGAGAGCCTCGCATCTGGCCACCTAGATGGAGAAAACATCACAATTTGCGTCTGGGTTGTTTGCTAATGAGGTTTTGGAGAGCACCAGGCATGGATTTGGCTGTGCAGCGTGTGGCGGTGGAGTGAAGGCAGGTGGGACAGAGCGCTGGGAGCTCTGAGCTCTGCTTCTGGTCCTCTGTTACTGTCTATAGGGCCTTGGGTGGGTCCCGTGCTGCAGGGGCCCAGGCTCCATCTCTGCCCAACCCTCAGGGTTGTCATGGGGATTAGATGAAATACACAGATGAGAACGTGCTTGGGAGACCAGAAAGGGCCATAAGAATTAAGAGCATTATCAGTATTCAGGCAACCTTCAGATAACAGAATCATAGACCCAGAAGGAGCCCCTGGGGCATATTTGGTCTAGATTCAGACCCCGTAGAGCACGTTTCTCCTAGTGGTGAGGGAGATGGTTTTAGGTGAGATACATCAGCATCTTTCATTTTAATAGTGATATACTTGTTTAGATGTGTTATAAACATACAGCCATCACATCAAACCTTTTTTTTTTTTTAATGGATATTTTGCTCAGATTAAGGCTAAAGAAAGATTTTGAGTTAAAAAGTGTGATGATTTTTAAGTTAAAGATTAAGCCAGTAATAGCTCGGTAGTAGACAAATATGACCAAAATGGGAAAGTGATCCCTTGAGTAAAGGCTGGGAAACTTTCAACAGGGGAGCCCCTCCAAGCGCCTGCGAGGGTGGGTCTTTGTCTTCAGCTGGACCCTTGTAGAGACAGGGAGCTTGCTGCCCCTCAAGTCAGTCCACTCCATTTGGGGCTTCTCTCATCCTTGCAAAGTTCTTTCCTTTCTCCCCATAGCCTGTCCCACTGGATCTGTCCCACATGAACCTCTGGCATCGTGCTTTTCTCCAGCACGAGCAGCTCTGCCTTCTTCAACTGCTCCTCAAATGTCATGGTTTAAAGACAGCCTCTCAGTATGTCCGCCCACCCTTCCTCCCTCCCTCCCTTTCTCTCTCCCTCCCTCCCTTCCATCTTTCCTTCAACACAGACTTGTGGGCTGCCTGGCTAGACACCCTATATTCACCAACTCTAAGCCTCACGACAGTTTTGCTGTTAGCCTTTTACAGATGTGGACACTGAGGCTCAGGGAGGTTAAGTAGGCCACCCTCAGTCATAGCCTGACAGAAGCAGAGCCTGGAAGGAGTCTGACCCAGGTCCGCCTGGTCCCGAAGCACAAGTTCCTTCTGTTACACTGCGCTGCTCCCAGAACAAAATGACACGTCCCTTCTCTCCCGGTGCTCATGGGACACGTCCCACAGGGGTCTGACCATGTATAACCAGTGCAGCAGGAGAGCAAAGGCCTCCTGAGAGGGGACGGAGCAGCCAATGCACAAGGACGGTATGAGGCAGCAGAAGCGGCTGGTCGGTGAAGAGCGGCAGAGAGCGAGCCTCGATGGCAGGGGTCCTCCCTGACTCTTATTGATCTCATAGTTAACTGTGACCCCTAAATCATTTGTGCACTTGGCATATTTTTTAATTTTGAAAACCGTAAAGGGTAATAGCACGAACACCATGTAACCATTACCCAAAATGAACAGATGCGACCGTCCTGTCTGCATTCGATCCTTTTCGTGGAAGGGCAGGACTTCCCACATGTCCCTGGTCCCTGGGCCTGGTGG